ATGAGGTCAAAAAATGGGTTCGATTACACCGTCCTCAGTCACGTTTAGATGCGATGTACTTAGCAAAGGACGTCGAAGATATGCTACGTCCGTCATCAGGTAACCTGTCTCACTTCCGTTTTCTTTATCATCAGGGTTCTGGTTTTAGTCCAGTGGGTCAAGGGGATGTTCGCCCTTCTACATTGGGCCGCCCAGATGGGAGAGACCCATTTAATCCTAAGTCCATGGACCGTTCATTGAATGCTAAGTCCTCTCACAATTCTCGTCCGTATGGGTATCCGACTTCCGACAATTCTTCCGGTAATCAAAAGGATCGGGGGTATCGTTCTCTTACTCGAACGGAATGGGAAGAACGCCGCAAAAAAGGGTTATGTTTTCGATGTGGACAACAATTTGGACCGGCTCATAAGTGTCCCGAAGGAAAGCTACGAGTATTATTGTTGGGCGATGATGAAGATGATTTGGCTACGGGGGACCTCTGTTATGTAGAGACTCCCGACGAACAAACCATTACAGGAGACGAGCAGATTCCGTCAGGAATGTGTGCTGCCTTGGAGTATTTTGGGTTTTCCACTGAGGTGATATCAGGGGACAAGATGATGAAGTTTGAAGGGGCAATTCGAGATATTCCGGTTACCATCCTAGTCGACAGTGGCGCGACTCACAATTTCATTTCTCAACATTTGGTAACATCCTTAGCTCTACCTTTTAATTGTTGTTCGGGAATTAGTATCAAATTGGGGGATGGCCATAAAATACTTGTTGATAAACAATGTCTTAATCTCCAAGTATTGGTGGGAAATCATGAATTCACGGTGGATGTGTTGATTTTTGATGTTGGAGAACTGGATTTGGTGTTGGGTATGGCTTGGCTTAGAACATTAGGAGAAGTGGTCCACAATTGGGAGAAGGCTTGGATGAAATTCAATTTTCATGGGGTTCCAGTTTTTCTTCAAGGAATGCGTGTAACTCAGGGGTCCTTTGATTCTCTGCAACAATGGTTGGTTAATTCCGAAGGATCAATAGCTGCCACTTCTTCCCTACCGGAAAATGACGTGGGTTTTGGAAATGATTCAACCACAATGCAAGGAAAAGCCTTACAATTGCTATTAAGTCAGTTTGCGAAGGCTTTTCAGACACCCTCTGGCCTTCCTCCAGCAAAAACTCATGATCATGTT